GAACTGCACTTTGTAGAGAAGTAAGTAATTTTTATTTGGTTCTTCAATTTTTTTGTTTTGTGTACATTAGACATGGGTATGGCTGATAGTAACTAGGTATATAGCAAAGGAAGCCATAGCGTGAGAGTTTATTTGATTTTTGACTTCTTTTTCATCTGTCCCTCTATTCAAAAATGACAGTGAATAGCCATTATTTTTGTAGTTTTGTAGTCAACCTTACTCATAGTAGCCTATATAGTTTCATGTTACCAAATGGTTCACTTTGCTTACTCCTATATGCACCAATTGCTTATTTTTTCAATAAATTTGACAACAGTCACTCAATCAAACAACTTGGGTGCATCGGTCTTACTCATCTTAGTACTTGTTAAGAGTTCTGAAAAGGCGAAAGTTCATCACAGAAGAACGAGGGAAACGCAAGAGAGATGCGGACGAAAGTGACACCGAACGTTAGTTAAGGTACGGCTTTTTGTATATAGACCATACAATTTTCACTCAAGGTGTTTACGACGAGGAAGTCTCGGACAGTATTATGAACTTAGACGTAGTTAAAACGGTCATCGAACAAGCTCTGTCCGCAGTCCCGCCTGCTCAGGCTTCGGGTGCGTTACCACTCATATTCTTGATAACTGCCAATTCATAATTGTCATTTTGTATTAATAGGTATGCTGGTGGAAATGTGGAAGGAATGTAACAACGTTTCGTTGATTCCCAACATTGAAAAAATCAAGAATTTCCTTGTGGACAAATTGAAAGAATTTGACAATGAGGACACGAAGTTATATGAGATTGAGGAGGCCTGCATGGGCGGAAGCGTGAGTTTTTGCCTGTTACGCTATTGAAAAGTTTGAAACATATGTTTATTGTACGTGTTTTATGTGGTTTTGTTTATTTCCTGAGTGATCTCGGCTTTCCTTTTACTGCTACCAAAGTGTAATGAGTAGGATGAATTGACTTTCGCAAAACATCATCTGGCTTCATTACTTCCCACTGCAATTATTTACTCTCAGTTTAGTCAAGATTTGATGCATTCGAAGCGGCTGTAGCTAAGACACCCACGGAAAAGATGTATCGTCTTTATTTGGAGTGGCTCCGCGAGTTGTCGACAAAAGGTGGGTACTTTGAGCACTTATCATCTTTATTTACATTGTTGTTGTTTTTCGAAACTTAGGCTCAGAATATCCTGACGCCGCAGATGTTGCCATTCTTTTGTCGTTCACCAAAATTACCTTGATCATCACCTTCATGCAGTAGTATAATCTTTTTGAGAAGAGCGGCTAAAATATCTGACGCGCATTGGCAACGGTTCGCGCTCTGTCCGAGGGAAATGCATCTCTTTATACCCTATTGTCTCCTTGTTCCTTTTTGCATAACGATAAAAAGTTTCTGCTGAAGCCGATGCGTTGCTCCACATTGAAGGACCTAGTTGTATTCCATCACATTTTTTGATATATTTTGGTCAATCAATCTCATCTGTTAAGTACATTGAGGTTCTGATTCAGATGCCTTCTCTGAAATGAAGACGCGGGCTCTGTTGAGGAAGATCTGTGAAGGTGGCTGGATGACAAACAAAGATTGGGTAGAACTTGAAAAGTCCATGGAAGAAGCTGAAGATGAGTTTGACGATCAGTTTCTCGAAAAGTGTTTGCAGGTACACTTCCATAAGTTTTTTCAGTTTTCTTGTGTAATCTGTTCTTATGTACTCTTTTAGCAAAAACCAGAATCTGCTAAACTATGGCAGATATATCTTGAAAGGCGATTAGAAGGCAGCAGTGATCCGAGTCAGTTCAGGGAATTATGTAATCAAGCTTTGGAAAAGGTA